TTATTTAAAGCAGTCTCTCTCACAGCAACCACTTGTTCTAATTGGCAAGGCAGGGCTGGGTCCCCGAAGCACACAGCTCGTTACGTTCGGCTTGCATTACAAAAACACGATGAAACAAACTGCATCGAAATGTACAAATTAACGGCGCAGGAGTGCACGACACGGACACGGAATTAGATTGTAATATGGAGCCAACTCCGCAGGGAGGCTGGGGAACAAATCGCTACTGCCTCCATAAACTAGAGAAGGTTTCCAAATGAGCAAGTATAGAAAATGGAGCAGATTTCTCCATAACTCAAATAAATTGGTGGATATGAAAAGAGAAAAATGCCCCACCTCTCYTGCACACGCAGGCAGAGGAGAACGGAGCTACATGAAAGTCTGATAAATGAAATCCGTGGGATGCACCTGCTCTGTTTTCATGCCCCAAAACATGCAAAAATCATGGCGATTTAGTCATATTTCTAAACAACTTTTAAATCATCACAAAATCTATACACAAGAGACATTACAGCTGATGTTTCARTGAGTCATAAGGCAAGGTTAAAGAGTTAGAAGATGAACAAGGTATTGTTGACAAAAATCTAGCTTTACCACAAATGGAAATATATCCTAGAAAGAAAGAATTATGAAACAAAAAAGCAAGAGGCTGAGGTCCTGTCTTTGCTTGAAGATCAACAGTCTATACAATGGGAATGGAAACTGTCCAAGCTAAGAAAAAGAAAACACATGGAAAATACCAGCAGTGTCTTGTTGAGATAAAAGAAAAATAAATTTAAGAACACTTGGCTGTCTTTTCACATAGCACACACTGAAAGGAGGTAATATTTTCTCAGGATAGTTCATATTTTTAACAAATGAGCGCCAGATTACTAGACTGTGAGTTCTGCAAGATGCAATCCAGTGAAAGAGCCCCTAATGCTCCAGAGGGTCAGTTACTGACAGGATTGATCAACGGCTGCTGCGTGTGTGGGAGGCGGTGGGAGGAATCAAATGTGACTGAAAAAAAAAAAAAAACCCCACAGAAAAAAAATAAGCCGCACCACCTTGACACACAAAATTTGAGAGCCAGCCAGGAAATTTTCTTTCTTACATTAAATTGTTTATGGATCTGTCCTCTATTAGGGCTTATACCTTCCCCCTACTTTATTTGGAGGAGGATGAAGGAGACGAAAAAAGGAGAAAGTAAGGGAGCAAATTAACTCAGGAGGTTAATTGCAGCCACTGGCGCTGTTTACAAGCACTGCTGCAGWGCTACACACAAAGCCTTCACACTGCTACGTTCCCACGTCCACAAGGGCTGTAGACCTTTTATACAGCACCCYTAATATCTGCACTCTGCTACTTCCAGTCCATGATTCATACAAGGGGGGAAGTGGACACCTCAAGCAGCATTGCACTAACAGGGGAGCTCCAAGTGTAACCTCTCCTCAAACCCCAGGGCCACGGCGAGTCAGGAATTTCAAAAGCTTCACGTAACCTTCTCTTTGGCCTTCTCATTTCTCCTGCACATACTGAATCCTGGGAACACACAGCATAAACAAGGTGGCTGATAGTTCTGTCAAGAATTGCCCTAAAACAGTTAGTCCTAAGCTTAGATAGTACAAGTAAACTCATATAAGCTCATTTGCTATTAAATTTTATTTCCTCTCCAAAACCTGGAGACAGCTTTGGGGAAAATCAGTGAACTAAAAGCAAATAAATGCTTTCTGAATCCTTCCACAAAATATTACTCTGTTCTAACATCCTTATCAAAGCTATTATTCAGATCTTCACTTTTTTTTTTTTTTTTTTAAATAAACTGCAGAATAATGCATGCCAACAGACAAAATAAAATTTTCAGGGTCAGCAGAGCAAACCAAGCTCATAARTAAGTCCAACTAAGTCATTCAACTTTTTGCTTAGTTCTTTTTCATAGTGATCATTTTCCTCAAACTTAGCATGCAGCATGAGCTGACCTGCTCAGGTTTATTACTTGTATTAAGACATCTTTTCACTACTATCCTTWAAAACACTTGGACTTGAAACAATGAATAGAGAAATTAAATGAGAGAAATGAAATGCATGTTAAACAAAGTCTCTGCTTATACCCGGAACGCTATAGTTCTCTGTAGCGGATGCTCTGAAAATCAGCAGTATTTTTGTTGCTACTGTAGTCACCCATACAACTTTCCAAAGAATTATTAGCTTGAAGCTTGAGTGTGTAATAAAAGTTAAAGACAAAACTTTACTAGTCTCAAGTGCGAGCAAGTSAGCGCTGCTTTTGTAGCGGTCCATGTACTTCAGAACACAAAGACAGCCATGAATGCAGCAACTGCCAGCCTAATGAAGCACCTTGGAGGCCCCTCTTTGCCTAGGAACCAACAAATGGAACCCTGCGCTCCATTCTTCCCCCCAAGAAGGTGCATTTTGTGGACACATAGAGAAATCCAGCACTTAGGGCTGCTGTCCAGCACTTAGGGCTGCTTTGTTCTTTACAGCAACAAAGCACTAAAATGTGGGGAACTGCAATAAGACATGAGAGTATGAAAAATGCAAACGTGTCAGATTTTTAATTCTTTAAGAACAGAAACTTCACGAAAGAGAAGGGTTGAAACAAGTGTATGGATAACTTATCATGCAACAGAATACAATAAATACTGCAAAATATAAAATTGCAACCTGAAATATGTACCTGTTGCAACGGTCTCCAGTATCACATGCTAGGAGTTTGCCCGAGCCTCAAGTTAACAGCAAAATCATTTATGGAAGAACTCTGGTTTTCGACAGCCCACCCCTGCAGTAGGTTTTGCAGCCACATGCAAGCCAGGATACTGAACAGCCTGCAGGATGCGTGAAGACAGAGACAGCAGGAAAGTGTCTGCATCCTTCAGGAGTGACCGTGAATCACCTAAAGAGCCAATTCTGCAAGCTCTCAGAACCCGACAAAGGACAAAGTTAAAGTCTGCTCAGTAAAGTAGAAGGGTTAAAATACATGAAAACATGAAATAACTCTACAGTCAGGCATGTGAGTGAGTTCAGGAAATAGAAAGAACACCCAATAGCTGCTTTCTTCTAAAATCAAATGATTTAAAGATTATGTGTGTCCATTTTTCTTCTCAATTTTCCCTCTTCTTTCCTTATTGTGCCTCCAAAAAACTCAACAAAGAAAATAAAGTTTTATAATTTCAACAGTATAATCTGGCATACAGCCAAGCCTTTATATTGAAAAAAAATCTATACAGTTACCAGCAATATTTATTTCCTACTTTATACAGCAACATTAAAATTCTGTAATTTTTACTCACCAAAATATCTGTGATCAAAAATATATGTGCAACTTCAAACTACCAGCAAAACAGAACTAAGTCATGACCCTTAATCTCAGAAAATTCTTGGGTTATATGATGGTGAAGTATTTTCCTTGATTTCAGTTATTCCGATCTATGGCTTCACAGGACACAAATGTAAGCATTGTCCCCATCTCTTTTCTGAATCCATCTATGCAACTGTCTCTAGATGAAGTTTCAATTGCACATTGCAAATAGCGCTTCCAGCAGAAGCACTATAAAAATTTATTTAGAAATATCCCAACCCATTAATGTTATCATTTCTCCCTACTTCCAATTTTCTAAGCACATCTCTTTACCAAAGCATCTAGTACTGCACTTACCTTTGGCTTCATGAATTAGCTATTGAATAAGACACAATCCATTTCCAGCATCCCTCTTTCCCATGCTGACTGCACAACAAAAGTTACCCTTTCTATACACACAATCAAATGGATTCAAGGCAGAATATTTTTGGGGGTGTTTTAAAGGAAAAGTCTACTTTTATATCAATTTAATGTATTTAGCTTTTGTTTTTACTCAGTAATAGTTTGTTCTAGGACTGTTCCCAGAGGCTCCAATTAAAAACAAGTCCTTGCCGTATCAGGTGTTGTTTTCTTGAATGTCTGTAGAATTCCTGTTTGAAAGAGCCTGCTTTGTATAAGTGGATTTTCAAAAAGCACTCGGGCAATGTCTGCAGCTGCAGCCAATATTAGAACTTCCATAAACCTAATGGGGACCAAACTAAACTGATGAGTACTTTTGAAAAACTTAATCCATACAACACTGTCCAGTATTTTAACCATTTGAATTTAGTAATGTACTGYACTGAAAGATAAGCAATTGCAGTGTCAGCAGATGATGGGGTATCATTGAGTGTGCAYACCTCCTTAGGTTTGCATTTTATCAGCACTTATCAGACCATAAGTGCTGGCCTGATTATAYTCTGAATATAATATTCTGAATTCAAACTTCAAACAAACACAAAAAACATGTTTTCTTGTATTTTTATTCTGGATGTGCAAGCTGCCTGAAGCAACTATACCTTAAGAATCTCAAGAGCAAATTCATTTGAAGCAATTTAATACCTAGGCTTATACCTGTTACTCTGTCTAGAGACTTTGAGACATGTGGTCAACACTTAAATAGAGACAGAATATTGTAAAGTACTCTGCAGAAGTACAATTAATTTAGAATGATTTCAGAGAGGCTCTTGAACATTTCTGAGCCCTCTACTTTTATTGAGCTCAAGTAAGATAAGTCAGGTATTCCTTCTTAGAACAGGCAGATGAGATAAAAGGAGGAAAAGAGGGCTGAAGAGGATTTACATTATATATATATATATATATTTTTAAACACAAAATATAAGGGCCTTATTTCAAACATTCAAGCACCTTTGTGTTGAGCATAAACAAGAACTAATGCATCAGAAATAGCAGGTCCATAGTTGYACAGAGGAGTACAACTAAGGAAAAGAAGGTTCCATTTAATAATTCATATTGCAAGGCAAACAACAACATTCTCACCTCCTGCTGACTTGCTGCCCTTCTCGTGCAATTTAAGTGAAAACWGAGTGCATACACAAATGTAAGCAGTTTTGCTGTTGCCTAATTCTGAAGTCAGTTTTGGAAAAAAAAATGGATTCTATCCCTTCCCTCTGTGGAGAAAAAGTCATTTAACACAGTTACTAACCTTTTTCGTTGTGTGGATTTCTTTTTTCTAAAATAAAAGAGAAAGGAAAGGTGGGTCAAGAGAAATAATAATTCCCAATTTCCCCCTCTACACATACCTACTCGAGTATTCTTGAAGGAATAACTTGTTTTATTAAAAGAGGACTTTTTTCAGATCATACCTCTGAGCTACCTGGAATGCTGAAAAACAGATCTGATTCAACAGCTTTCTTGGCTAAATCCTTACCTTTCTGTAAATTGAATTGCTACAGATGGAAGAGTATGCATCTTTCTCTTACAGTACTCTGGCTGAAAACCCAGTAAAAAAATACTCTAAAAATATTTAAGTAAAAYCATAAACAAATAGGAGGCCAGCAGCCTGAGGCAAGTGACCCTCCTTCCTTTACCAGGTACTTAAAAACTCTATTACTTGAATATTACTGATTGGGATCTGAAAAGATAAAGTAAATTTGCTTCTTTCAAAAATACTGGGTTTTGTTCCAATGAGCAGTAGCTTTTTAAGTCTCAAGTTTTCCAAAATTCTTATATTTTTAATAGGAATTATAAATGAAAACTGTAAAGATAGAACTATTTTTTCTTAAATCACACACAGGTTCAGATACAATCTTAACAACATAAAAAGCCTATGTGATCAGAGGGAATGGCTTTTCCGCTATTCCAGAGAATCATAAAATAGAAGCCAAAATGGTCTGTTGATTTTTTTTGTTGCTGTTAAAAAGTATCAATATTATATATAGATATATAAACAAAAAGGCAGTAGAAAAAAAATACGCTTTGCTTTGTGACTGGCCTGTGAGCTGTAGAGCTTGGGGGTACTCGACTGATCCCAGAATACAAGGGACGAGCCATTTCCATCTCTCTGGACCACAAAACCCACACATCTCCGAGGGAGGCGGGCAGAGGCTGGCACGCTGCTCGTGTGAACCTCAACGTGCAGCGGGGCCATGGAAGACCTGGCAGCCCGTTTCTCACAGCAGCCGCCAGCGCAAGGCTGTARCAAGGGCCTTGCGGTTCACTCAGCGCCGCCTTCCAGGGACCCAGGGCCCTGSATCCAGGGCAAAGCCGGGGAGGGGGAAGCCTCTGCCGTTCTGCCAAGCAGCCTCCAGGAGACCTTTTTACCCCGCGTGTCATGAGGTGATCCTGAATGCCAGATCTGAGAAGCCAAACTCGAGGAGGTACAAGCCTCAGAAAGGCTTTCCAACATTGTTGTTTCCTTTTGGTACACTTCACCTGGAAGCTCAGACGTTGCATAGCTTTTTGCATTATAAACCAATGATAAATAATAAACTCCACAAGCCCAATACTAAGACAAACTTACTTTCTAAAAAAACTTNNNAAAAAAAAAAAAAAAAAAAAAAAAAAACCACACCCTGTTCCCCCAAAAGAAATTTAAAATCCTGGACAGCAACTTAATTGTAATTAAAAGATTACAATACTAAGTAATACCACAAAAACTTTAAAAGGCAAGGCTAGAAGATGCTAACAGAAGAGGTTAATAACAGTTCCTAGCTTTTTACACAGTAGCATTGACTTTGCAGTAAGAAGATAATACATAGTATTTAGGATTAGCCTACTAATAAGCTACTGATGATTTAACATTCAGAGGCTGCAAAATGAAAAGAAATGGAGCAGAATTCTTTCCCTAACAACTGTTCTTTTTTTTTTCCCCCTACCATGTATCAGAGGTCACTGACAAAATAAAAATATATTCTATAAAATTCCAAACTCTACTGCAGAGTGATGCACTTTGAAAGCCAGGCCAGCTGGATAGGGCCTGTGCTAAGAGTGGAGCTCTGGAGTTCAAGGGCTTTCCAGACTTCTGTAAACCTCGTTGAGTCAAGGTTTGGTACATTTACACATTGGGTTCTTGCTTTCCACACACTGAAGATCACTTCAACAGACCCAAGCAAATAAATGAAACCCCAAAGTGAGGAAAATCTGATCTCAATCTCTCTCTTTCTCTCTCATACACACATACATACATACACMCACACGAAAAACCCATGCACAAACCCTGCAGGAGATGCCAACAATGTGGTTTTGATAATCTAACAAAAACACAAAACCTTTTACTGCACTTACCAGCAAAGCATTTGGAACAGAGATTCATAGTCTTGCTGGACCTGGGGCAAAAATAAAAAAAAAAAATAGAGCTAAAAAATTCATTTTAACTAATCAATACAGGGGAGTTTTTTCAGGAATGAAGCAAGGGGACAGAGAAGGTAACAACTTAAACTGCTAGGAATCAAAATGACTAGAAGTGGCTGAGCTAGGAACAGGGGCAAGGGGAAGAGACTTCATTTGGCAATCTCCAGTTTTAAGAGCTTTCAAACCACGACTTTCACATATTTACCTCACATTGAGAATAAAGTTAACTTTAGCAATTCCCGTACATGTTACRCACCCGAGAGTCCCATCTCTCTACCACAAAAGGATCATGACGATGGAGTTGGATACCACGGCTCCTCTTGGCAGCAGCTCTGCCRCCCTGACAGACCCTGCACGCAGCACAACGCTGCAGATGGGAGCCCTGCTCTGCAGGGCCCGTGGCAGATGTGCTCTGGGCAGTGCAGCCGGAGGGTCTGGCAAGTCATTACCTCGAGCTGCCCACTGCCACCCTCAGCCAAGGCCAGTGAGAGTGTAAGATAATGGGGCTGGCTTTGCCCTGACGCAGCCTCGGATCACTCGCAATCTGCCGTGGGTGGCTAGGGAGTCTCTGCTGCGGGAGGAACAGATGGACATGACCGCAGCACCTTGAGCCTCCCAAGTGTTCGTGCCATCAGGTACAAGTGTCCACCCGCAACCTCAAAGTCAGCAAGCCCGCCAGCAAAAAAAAAACAAAAGCAAGGCTATGGTCTTCTCTAGTGCTGCAATGAAGCTACCCCAAGCAATGTACCACAACAGTCCCCTTGCATTGGTTTCTCTTACGAAAAGTTTACATCTATAATAACTTTTTTTTTTTTTAAAGCAAAAAGAGAGGATATTCTCAGGAGTTCTCTAAATTCTGCAGTATCTTAGGGAAAGAACCACCCCCTTTCTGTTCACAGAGCCCAGTGTTTGACTTCAACATCCAACRCTCCTCAGTGAGCTTACGGACATGGTGGCGGAGCATCGGCACCAAGTGGATCTGCTGCACCAGAGCTGCCCACCCCACTGTGACCTTCTCCTCTCCCCAGGGCAGCATGGGGCCGGAACACGTCGTTTAGATAAATTACTTGCCAKTTTATCTTCAGAAACAACGTACACAAAAACAATTGAGATTACCAAAATATTTAGGTTTTCTAGCTCCAGCCAAACATCGATGGACTTATGAGATGTACATCTTATCATATATAAACTATATAAAAATTTGCATGTTATCTCAAAAACTTAAATTTTAAAACTTTAAAGTGCAAATTAACCCCTCTCAGATTTCTAGATTTTGTTTAMAAAGTTTGCAAATGGATATTTTCTGGACTTTCCAGTAACAGAGTAAACCCAGACCTGATCAATCATCTCTCTTRCTATTAGTCACATCCAAACATTACAGCTGCTTTTCAATTCATGCACATCTGAAAGATGGTTTACATCAGGCTCAGGACTTCTAGAGGAGCACAGTTCACGGCAGATATGAGACAAAGCACTTGCCAGCTACAGCAGGAGCCACAGACACATGAAAGCCAGTTTTAAATGCAAACAGCATGTGCACAGGAGAAATGTTAATTCCCAGGAAAAGAAAAGCCAAACAGCGTTTGTAGCCACACAAATGCATCATCCTACTGGTATATACCCAAAGACTCGCTATCTATGCTGACAGTCTGCACAGATTATCTACCTTCAGAAGAACTGCAATTAAAAACAGCGTGGTGAGTCAACACCTCCAGCATCAGTGTGCTGCAGTTCAGTACTCACTGCTTATGCGTTAGACCTTCTGAAGCAGCTCAATATGCCAGGCAGGAGCTTCTCTGCAAAGCCATTAAACCCCCGGGGCAGCAAAGGAAAAGAAAGGCAGAGTTCAGATGGTTCATATTGATGACATTGGAACAGGCAATGACAAATGTTTTCAGAGGCACAATCAACCATCCCAGCTGTTAAATATCAATCCAAAGCCTTGTATGATATTTACTTATTAACACACCAATAGTGGAAAATACAGATACATGCACAACACATAGAGCTATGTGGAAAACACACACACACACGCGCGCGCAAAAAAAAAAAAAAAGGCTGCTATTGAGTTGTAACACAAAAACTGGGGTTTTTGGAAGGACAGTACAACTGGGCAAGTAACCCTAAGGCAAATAACTAAACTTCACTGTTTGAGTTTCAAGGTTCACTTGATCTCTGATCTTTTTATATCCTCTGCGGCTACTGGGTAGGGTGAGAATCTGATTTCTGACTTTTCTTTAAAGGAAGAAGAGCAGGACACTTTGGTCCGCTGCAAATGCATCAGCACCAAATCGCATCCAGGACAACAGCARTTTCCCCCAGGCTGACCTGCCTCACCCCGTCTGAAAGGGCAGTATTTCATTACAGCCACCGCTTTACAAAGCAAACACACATATCAAGCAGTTTATAGGTGTCAAGCTTGCCAGCTATCATCCAACAGGCATGTAAATGTCTTGTCAAGGAAGGCAGGCACACTTGTCAGCTCRTAGTTACAGTGCAAATCCCCTTCTGCTGCTGCTGACATCTGGACAGGACCTCTTTACCCGGCCAAGGGCTGTCTCAGCAGAGCCAACGTTTGCTCTGTGAGGTAAAGCTCAATACTCCCACTGCCCCTATCCCTATTAACTGCTTCCCAGGGAATGCAGCRCTCACTGAAGCTCGCACTGTCACCCAGGAACACCCAAGTTGAGGATGCCGGTACTCCTCTCTCCTTCTCAAACACAGCTGATGCCCAGAGTGTCTCTTATCTCTCAAGGTAACATGAGTGGAAACGCTCCAAGTTCAAACACACCCGTCAGGGCTGCCCTGACGCCCCAGCGCAGCAGAGAGCGTCACAGCGGCCAACCCTGCTGCGAGCAACGGTTTCTAGGAAAAGCAGCACAGCTCAGATTTCCACGAAAGTTCAATAAAACCCCCAGTGCAGAGGTGAGCGAGGCCCAATGAAGCTAAAAATTCAAAGTCAATCCTGAACCGAGGAGTCCGGTATGTTTTGTATTTCCACTGCTGCGAGCCAGTTCTGCCCCTCACCCCGGTGAGGTCAGGGATATTTGACAGGCCTGCTAATCGCTCATCAAATCACCACAGGTTTCAACCTGACATATTAAGATAAAACCCTGATCTCCCTCATAAAAAGTCAGCATCGTGCTTAACACTGCCTAATTGAGAACTACTACAGTGCATGTTTTWTATGTGCATATATCTCCGGAAATCTAGTTTTATATTGGCAATTTACAATCTCCACTTGTACATAATTTAAGTTGGCATTCAGAAAGACATTCATATTTATGGATAAATCAAGTCAAATAGAATGGTATTATCTTAGAAACAGAATATAAAGTTAAACCCAATTTGAAGGTACTTCCATCTGTCAAAAAGAAATCATTTAACTGAAGGGCAATACAAAATTATTATGYAGATTTGGAAAATACAAGGTGAAACAAGCTAGTAAGGTCAAGTGGCAGAGAAAATGAGAAGCAGAGGTTACTTCAAGACAGCTGGAAAATCCCAGAGGCTCCAGACCGACCGCAAGAAACACTTCAGCAGTGCTCCCGCTCTCCACCAAGCTCAGGTACTAAAAGTGCCTCAACTGGCGGAGAAAGCACACAGTGACTCCCCTGAAAACACAGCAATGGAAGGAGCAGCCATGACATAAGGACATTCAAAGAGGAAGAAGTTCACAGACAGTGGAAAAATCTCAAGACCTTATCTATTCTTTAAGCAACTAATAAAAACACAGTTGAGGATAAAATATAAAAGTCTCTTTGAGGATATTACAACTGCCATCYGCTACTTGTACAGTTGTGCCTACGAGCTTCCAATGCACATGGAGCTACCGGAGCCTCCAGATGTAGGTCCAGGTTAAGGTCTTCAGCAAGATCAACGTTTGCCTCTCTGGTTAAAGGTGTGTAATACAGAACGCAAGAGAATGACGGGCACCAAATACCAAAAAAACAACTGATATATACTTATACATACTGTAACTAATTAACAGAACGATGCTCCTTCAGCTACTTGTTACCCTGGTTCCATTTYCATAAATTACTTCTATACACTCCTATTAAAGCATGACTTTGACTACTCCACTAAAGGCATTGAAAGTTATTTACTCAATTTTATACCCTGCTCTATGAATTATTCCTTTTACTTCCTGCTCTTTGGCATATACCATTGCAAAGAACAAGCCATCTCCATGTGCATGCTATTATTCTGTCTCAACCTGAAGTCTGCTTTTCCTTCCTCCTCTTCCTGTAAATCACCTCATCAGTGTGAAACCACACGTCAAGTGTGAAGCCAAAATCCTGACTATCAATCTGAAGTACAGATTTCTAGACACACAGTGCTTGATCAGAAGAGCCAGAGCCTAAATCTCTACCTGGAGACACAAGATTAAATTACAACGGAAATTCTGAGCATTCAAAGTATACAGCATACGTTTGAGCATTAAAGCATACAGTAATATACAGAAATCTGCTAGGAACCTGCATCCTCAGCCTCCCTAATGAAATCAATTTTCCACACAGTAGCTTAAATAGATATAACTAATATATACTGAAGGTATTAGCATCAAATCCTACACGTTGCAGCACACTGTCAGTCATTTCCAAGTCTACTCCTTTTCCACATTAAAAAGGCAAGAAAAAAGCAAATCAGAAACACTTCAATACTGGCTCACACCATAAAAGTGCTAGAGAGCAATGCAGAAGAGCTCTGCTTGGTCTTTATTATGAACTCTCCTACACATTTCAAGGTAATACTGGACTAATGTTACCAATGTAAATCCACGCCATAGTAAGATGGATAAAGCTGCGCCATAGTAAGCTCGCACAGGTGTGTATTCCCCACGCTCAAAAAGACTGCACAAAAACAATTTTTGAGGACAATTCTTATTTAGTTCTTTTGAGGTGGTTAGGACAGGAACATAGAGAGCAAATGCCGCCATGTAAGATGCATCTGTTACATATTTAACTTTGAGATA